AAACAAACAAACTATTTAATGAACAAAACAGGGTACAAGAACTAGGAAACTGAAGAACTTGATTGGTGGACAACAGAATATTAGTTCTATTATGGAGTTATCAGAATTACCTCTTAAGTTCATTCTGATGGTCATCGAAGAACACAAGCACCCGACTATCATCCGTGATCCCATGCTTTCTCATCACTTTTCCCCAGTCCATGCTTCCAAAGTCCACAAAGTCCTTTCCAGCAAAATAGGTGCAATTTCCATCAACATAAGCAGGCCCTTTCTTGAGGTACTTCTCAGGATGCCTAGGTGAAAGTGATAAGATAGGCTTATCAGGCATGGCCTGCCTTAAGACCCAAGTCGAGTGCCCCTTAAAAGCACCACTTTCAATCATCAAATCCGGCTTCAGCCATCTCGTGATAAACCAAAGTCCGAAACTGTGGTCGAAGCCCATACCGTACACGTTGTTCTTAATGGGCCGGGTTTCATATATTGGCACAAACTCTTCGAGACCTTGGATCAAGTCTTTCGATGTCCATTCCACAGTTTTTCCGTGTTTCGATCTGCCTTTTGACAAGCATAGCAATTATATGCATATACAACTCATAAAGAATTGGAATAAAATGGCAAACTCGAAAAATATTGTAAGAGGAAACACAAACAGTTGGGTGGGAAAAAATATCCACATACATCATCGTTTTACTAGATTAGAAAATTCAAAGTAAGATATGGTAAACAGATATTATTTGGTCCTTGCACTGGTGAAAATGATAATAAAAACAAATTATGTTGTTATGCAAATTGTAATAAGAAGTTAAATTAAACAGTGTTTAGAATATAAAAACTGATATGAAGAAGTTGTACTTTTAGCTCGGTAAAATGCTCTGAGAGTCTTATATATGTGCATAAATATATATTGCTTAGAAATTGTAATAATCCAAAAAACCTTTACGATGAGGCTCTCAGGTCTATTAATAGACCACCTCCGAGCAATGTATACATGCTACAGTAACTAATCTCTTTCTCGACACTTGCTTAGACATGTGTCAAATTCTGAGCTAATAATTACATGTTGATTGCCAGTTGTAACTAATTGTGCTTGCATCATTCTCATCTGTTCAGTTGTCTTTGCCAGCTCCTGATTCAGATTGGCATCATTTACTTTCAAACTGTAGCTTCTGTGATGGGGTAAAGTGTTGTCGACTTTCTTTTTCGTTTTGGTCTGTAATGTTTAAGAATTTCCGACCTAATTACAACTGCATCTTCTGTGATGGGATAATCACTGTTGATTTCTTGTTCATTTAGGTCAGGCAACATTTAAGAATTTCAGACCTAATTAGTTCCTAATCCGCTGGTTTAATCCTCAGTCATCCTTTAATTGACTATATTCTGACATTTTCCTTATAAATTCATATAACCTTCAGATGTAGGAATCATAAGTTTTCAAATAAAAACTTCATTATAGCAACTTGAAGATTATAAATATTGCTCACGCAATTAAGCTATACACGGAAAAGCCAGAAATGGGAAGCAAATGCATTCACTCAATCAACATCTACCAAATCCTCAAGTAAGAAAGCTAGAACTCCAGCAAGCTAAAGAAATGTGATGCAAAACAAATGAAGATTTTGACCTAATTCAGAACATCACAATTAGCGTTGGCAAATAGATACTGCGTTCCCAAAATGTAAAGAGAAGATGAATATTAACTTACACCATGGAACACCAAGAGATCCGAAATCCGACTCGGGACCATCGAATCCAAAAAACAACGAAGAGATGTGCTCCGAGGAGGAAGCCGAGATGCAGACCAAATCTCGTGAGTGAACAACCAGCGACGAGATAATGACGATTGCAAGCCCTAGAGTCAGAACCGGCCATATGTACCCTGTCCGAATCAAGTAATTGGTCACCCTCATAGCTACGGATATGTGCTTCCGGTTCTTGGACTCGTCGGCGGTTTCTCCGCCGCCTACTTCTTCAGCTGCGGCCGCCTCCTCGGCGGCGTGAGGCTGCTGCCGTCTGGTGGAGAGTGTTCGTTCGAGAATTTTGGTCGGAGTTGGCATTTCTAGCTCACTGCATGTGTTGAAGAAGAACAAATCTGCTATAGCCAAGAACCAAGATATTCTCTGTTGTGAATTGCAAATCTATATATAAAGAGAAATAAATATTTATTAGAAATAATAAAAAAGAAAAAAAAAAATCACCCAACGTTTTTGGTAAATATATTTTCTCTCTCCTCTAATTTTTCTCGTCTCTTTTGCGCCGCTTCCCTGAGCCTCTCCACTGATGGGTGCTCCGCACCCCACGGCGCTGGCCGTCATCTGCACTTGAGGCGAACTTCTGTCGAGTCCTCCTTCCTTCTCCAGCGTGCCGCCTATTGACCATGGTGGATTTTGGAGGGTTCCGACTCGACGGCGAGTCTCATATTGGTGGGCTCCGATACTGTCTTGCGGTGGCCGGTCTGTGGTCGGCTCCTTGCGACTTCCCTCTCTCCATCCTCTCCTTGGTGTTGGGAAGGGGGATCGTCCGGCGAACGGCTTCTTTCGCCGGTTGCGTCGAGGTAGTGGCCGTCAGTTTGCGATGGGGGAGGGGTTTGGGGTGGGTCGCCAGGTGTGTCTCGGTGGGGACTTTTCCAGGTGCTTGGGCCGTTGTTTTGCTTCTGTTTCTGGGTGGTCCGCTTGGGATTGTGGCTCGTTATGTTGGTGCAGGGTGGCTTTCCTATCGGCGGGGATGGCGTTTTTTAGCTTTTAGTTTTTTTCCTGTAGGAGCCTTCCCCAGTGGGGCTACATGAGGTTTCTCGGCAGAGGCGTCCTCGGGCCTTGCAGCCCGATTCTCGAGGAATGCCGCTTGGAGGTGGAGTTTTCGCTGGCGGAGGCGGTGACCAATTCCCTAATTAGGTCTTGCCGATTTTTAGGCTACTAGGATGGTGAGAGGGCAGCGACTTGCCAGTGTTTTCGTGGCGTTGGGCGACCCTCTGGCATTCCTTTGGAGTGGGTCGTGGCCTTGTTTCTCTTTTTGGGGGTTCGAGGTGGAGAGTTCCGTCACTTGCCACTGTGTTCCTTCTATCTCTGGTGTTGGGCGAAGGGGTTGGCCGGCGAACTCGGCTTTTCTAGGTTTGTGTCAGGTTTTGCTGGTTCGTTCTAGGTGGTTTGGGGTGCGAGTCTTGGGTGTCTGTCTAGGCGTGGGTTGGGTTCGTTGGCGGCCAACCCAGTTAGGCATTTTGTTCGGCAGTTTCTGGTTCAGGCTCCTAGACTGTAGCTCTATCCATATGATTGGATGTCCGTTTGGCATAGTCGTGAGTTGGCTTGGTGCAATTGAGTAAGGGGAGGTGTTTTTTTGTTTTTATTTATTTATTATTTCTAGTTGTATTTTGGTGTTTTTGCTTGTTGTGTGTTCTTGTTTCTTTGTTTTCTTGTGTGTTGTTGTTCTGTGTCTGTTCTCCTGTTTGGGAGTTGTGGTATTCTTCTATTGGGAACGGTGTTATTCTCCTGTTATGAGCTTTTATTTGTAGTTTTTAGTTTTAATGTGTTGTCATAATATTTTATGATGTTTTATTCTACATGTTTTTTAAGTTTATATTCCAAAGGAGTTGTGATAATTAATATTTAAATAGAAATATTGTGATTGTATAGACTTTCTATAAAAAGAGGATTGGACGGGCCGGTTCGACCGGTTCAACCAGGAACCAGTCAGCACAACGGTCTGGTTTGAGGTATGAAACCGTTAAAGTCCAAAACCGGCTGTGAACCGAGTAAGAACTACTAAAACCGATAAACCGGCAACAGTCTAGCAATCCAGCAAGTTCTATTTTTAACTTAGCTTTGGGTCCCGTTGGTGATCACATAAATAGCAAATATTTGATATGTATTGTTCGGATGTGGGATATGGATATCAGCTTTCACAAATAAATGCTAATGCCCATGGTTGAAATAATTGGGCCCAAATTCGGCTTACATGACATCTAAACCTTTTTATCTGATTTTGCTCACAATTTGAAGTCTCATTAATTCTAATTGTCTAAGGCCCATTGAATAGAATAATGAATTAACATTTATTGCTCATCTACTTTCTATTTACTTTTTTTTTTTCAATTGTTGTTTTCAATATTAAAATTTAAAATGTAAAAAATATATAAAAAAAACCATCAACATTATTCAATATTGTCGGCTATATCTATAATTGACTCCTATTTGGACAAATATCATTATACATTATAAAATTAATGATAAAAATAAATAAAATCATATATTATACGTATAAAATAAATAAAAAAAATTATACATCAATTAAACCGGTTCGACCACTGGTCCGACCAGTGAACCTTTAAACCGGTAGCTTCGCCAGTTCGGTTTTCAGAACAATGCTTTTTATTTGTTAAAAATATTATTTTTAGGTATTGTGACTTGAATATGAAAAGTTAAATGGGATGGATGCTATTACTCTGGCCTATAAATGCATGGAGTTTGCTCATTAGCGTGTGATTTGCACGTCACAATACAGTACGACCAAAGATGAAAAGTAGTTGCAAACAGATCCACGAACTGTTTCTCTGTAAATTTCGTAAGATGTTGGTAAATGTGATATTATTATTTATACAAAGAAATACAAAGAAGATATTAAACAATATTATTAGTATGTATTGACCAAAATGATGGTATAATATTAATTTTAGTTATTATTTTGTAGATTATATTCATATAGTCCAATCTTAATTTTTAAAAATTAATCATAATATTGCACCTTGTGAATCGCTAGAGCTATGCACTAGTTGATCTTAAATCATAGCTAGATAAGTAATGTCGTTGAATACTAAAAAATAAAAATCAATTTGTTTAACAAATAAATATAGGGATAACTAATACTAAGATATTTAAGTCATAATTGTTAATTATTGAAAAAAAGAATGTCTGATTTCTAACAATCATGATTCACCATCCACCTTAATTATCTTGAATTTGGGACAGTTAAGCACACTTAAACATTAGCATAAAATCATATTTAAGACTCAAAATGGGGCAGATAAAGGCTCCTTAATCCGAGAGTCCTCAGAAGTAGTGGACTCCATCGTGAGTGCTGAAGATGTACATTGACAATTTGTCACCACCAACACGTGATCACTTTCAATCTTTTCCCTCTTACCCAATAATCCCGCCGCCTTTTGTGGTGGATTTCCACCGGAAACCTCCTCGGCCACCGTTGCCTTGATTGACTTAACTACCTGCATCTATAGGCGTCGTTACTTACTAATAAGTTCATAGTTAATTAAGCAGACATGTTACGAACAATTGCATATTGAACCCTATATTAGTTACGAACAATTGCATATTGAACCCTATATTAGTACCTCGATGATTATGCGTGAGGCTTGTTCACCAGCTTCCTTACTATTTAAAATTTCAGCAGCCATTTCCTAAGCCAGATTTGAGCACATCAGTTATTGTAAATCACAAATAATTAGCTAAGTACTGAACTAACATTTTGCCTATTACCATTACGCCTCACGAATAAAATGTTTTTAAAGAGTGCGAGAAATTATATATAAGATGAGTCTAAATTACGAATTACGTACCCTTGCATCATTGAGTTGACCTTGATTTAATGTGCGGGGCTCAGTTTCAATGGTGCAGCAGAAATTTTCCATGAATAAAAATGCGAATCCAAGATTAGTATATAATTTATTTCTCGAATTTAGATAATTTGATTTTGGAGCATTTTGTTAATTTTCAAAATATAGTATAGCAAAGCCCCTTATATATATTGAAATTTCCACAAATTGGAAAGTCACGGATTAATTTGACTTTAAGGTATTGGTGGGAAGAATATTTAAAAGCCTCGTGTTGGAAGTCTTTGATTACTTTTATTTATTAAGTCCAGGGGATGTTGACGCTTTTTTCTCCATTTCACGAGTGAACTCTTGAATCAAGTATTTCACGAGTGCGCGTTGATATATGGATTTGTGTGAAGTTATTTATCTAACTGTTTCTACACAATATGTTATCATTTTTTTTTTCTTTTTATGAATATGTTCCTAACACTAAGCCAAGTAGACTGATATTTTTATTAAAACATCGAATAACATCTATAATGCATTGAGTTTAATCTTGCCTATTTGGCATGTAAATAAACTCAAATTTGGCTGGCATGGATAAAACTATGTAAAATTAACAAAATATACTACAATGCAAAGAGACTAGGTCTCTACTTGGATCTAAAATAAACTTATGGGTATACTGAGTCTCTTTTTCTTACTGGCACATTAGCAGGACCCAATCTACTTAATTCTATTTGTATTGGATAATATATTTTGGTAGAATGAGTCTATTTCTTAGATGGCATATAATTTTTGTGATTGAACCCAAAACATTGTTGATGCTTTAATCTCCCTAAAAATATTCTTAGGGATATACACTTTTTGAAACGTCGGGTTGGTTTAGAACTGGAACCGGCCTGGCAGTTCGACCCTCTTCTTGTTTTTTTGTTTTTATTATTTCCTTCTTTATTTGTAATGAATTGAGCCAGCCCGGAACCGGTGGTTCACCGAACCGGCCTGAAACCGCCGGTTCATCGAGACAACCCCAGCATATGTTCGGGCCGTTTCAGGGCTGGCCAGTCCTTGGGCCGGAACCAGATTTGGCCATGTCTACGTATAGATTATTGCATTAGTCATGCTTTGCATGTTGCATTATCATACTCAACACAATTTCTAATAAAATGGTAACGAATATAAATGTGTTTTGTTAGAGAGAATTGAACTGGACTATGAGAAATATTTATCGCTGGTGTTGCTAAAAAAAAGGTTTATGTTTCTTACCTCAAAGCCAAATTCGAACATCATCTGTTTCATCCACACTAGCTGAGCAGCAACTTCCATCAAAGATATACTAAGCATCAGCTGTTACTGATGTAAAAGCATCCTCCAGACGTACTCCGTCGATGGTCGACGTTTCCTGCCCAATCGACATCATAATATCATGCAAGAGTAGCACTAATATCGCCTGAGTATAAGATTCCTAAGTCAGCAGTACCATGAACATACTTAATTATATGTGTAGGCATCGAAATTTTAATATTTTATTAATTAGTGTCTTTATTTATTTATGAACATAAATCCAAGATAAATAAGATATTTAATTAACAAAGTAATTATGTCTTGCCCACCAAGTTAAATCTTATGATGATAACAAATCTTAGGATAAGGAAAGAGATCATATCAAATCATGAAGGACCAATCAAATTGAAGTTTTCTTCTCCAAGTCTCCTACACCTATAAATAGGGCTCTCCTCAATACCACAAATCACACGTCAAAATATCCAACACCTCATAAATCAAAGTCTCAATTCAAAGAACTCTCAATAATTCTCTTGAAGATCCAAATGTGTTCTTGAAGATCAACGACATTCAAGTTAAAGATCCAAGAATAGAAGAATCAGAGGGTTCCATATAGAGATTGTACCCGCATATCGTTTGATCGAAATAAAATCAAGTTGTACAAAAGGTTTATGTATTTCATAAAATTTATTGTTACAATATGTTTCACGACTCTAAGATGTGATTTCTTAGGATTAGATTGGTAACCCGCACACATTTCTATACTATAGCATAAATTAGGTCGGCTAGCAGTTAAGTACAAAATACTACCAATCATGCTTCCATAAAGAGTTGAATCAATCAGTGTTCCTGAATCGTCCTTAGAAAGCTTTTTACAGCTTCCCATAGGAGTATCAGGACACTTAACGTGTTCCAACCCGTATATCTTTACCACATTATTAGCATATTTGGCTTGGTGAAAAAAAAATTCATCCTTAGACTGCTTAATCTACAAACCAAGAAAGTAAGTTAGCTCACCAACCATGCTCATCTCCAACTCCTTAGACATGTGTTCTTGAACACACTGAGCCAAAGATAATGTCATCGACATAAATTTTGCACAAGGATAATATATTTGTTAAATTTTTGCACAAAGGGAGTTTGACCAACTCCGCCCTCGACTATAGCCCCTTTTTATCAAAAATTGTGTCAATCGGTCGCACCATGGCCTAGGAGCTTATTTGATCCCATACAAATATTTCTTAAATCCATAAACAGTATATTTACAATGATGCAGTTGTCGTTGATGATAAAAACATAGTAATAAACTGATTATAAATTGAATGCATACATTATCTTACTAATCAGTCTGTTTCTCTACTCCAACCTCGCGCTGCCATTTATGATTACATGAAATACAATGCTACCTTTTACTCCTCGATGTTCTAGAGCTGTTTCTCGATCTCGATCTTCGAAAGTGGCGGGTACGACGAGCGCCGATGAGTTGAAATCGTATCCAGGGACCTCCCTTGGGACGCCATTCGAAGGGTGGCTAGCCCGGAGTTGGGCCCCACTGGAAACCAAACGGAGACGACGAGTTAGGCTGGCTCACCGTGCCTAAATTAGGAGACGGGAGGCTCGATCTAGTCCGACTCACCATCGAGCTTCGATTGGAAAATCTCCAGCTCAACTTGGTGCTTTGACAGTAAAATCAACAGTTGAACTTCGAGCTTCAACTTCCGGACGGAGATATGGAGTGGAGATGCCGAAGACTGTGCGTGGATGGAAGTGGAGGCAGAAGTCGGCGGCGGAGGTAGATTTTAGGGCTTGCAGAATTTCAATTTTTCAGCCGAATGGACATGGACTGCTGAAGTGTTTGTGTGTTTGTGTTGAATGATTTCCATATCAAAATATCCTCTAACATTATTTAAACATTTTATCATATTTAAAAAACATTTTGACTTGGTAAGATTATACATATCTATTACTATATAATACGGAGAAGAAATATTGTTTGAAAAACTTTGAAAAAACGATTTCATTTCTCGCTTCTATTTTACCATTTTCCCGCTTCTTAAATTTCGTTTTTCAGCAATTTTTTTTCGAAAATTTTTGCATGTCCCGCTGTTGCAATTTTTGGTTGCAATAAAATCGGATAGTGTATATCTTTTGTTCCAATATAATAGGTTTGTTATAGATAACATGATATAAGAGATTTTAATTTCCTTCAAATATGGAACCACTTTTTCTTCATGAGAAAAAACGTGTATGCATGTACGTAAATTTGGCCATATCCACTAAATTAGGAAAAACGTTTGAAAAAAAAAAAATATAAATCAATTACAAGTTTTAAAAGTTTGTTATGTCCATATTTATCTAACCTAAAAATATATCTAATGTTTGTATTTATCCTATAAAATATTGATTGATATTTATCCCAACTTATCCACATATAATGCCATAAACATCATTTTTGAATAATGCAACAAACAATTAAAATAAGTTTTGTTTCTTTTCTTCTTCCTCTTTTGTAAATTCAATATCTTAAACAATAATGAGTTCATTTTTAATTTTTAATTTGGTGTGATTATCCTTTACCATAATAAAATAAATAGTGCATATTTATCTTAAGATTTTATGGCGATCGATATCTTCAAAATTTTATGGTTTGACAGAAAATATTTCCGAATAAAAAAAATAAATTTTAAATATAAAATTAATGTAATCAAAAGGTTAATTTAATACAATATATTTTTAATAAATAAAATAAAATATGTATTAATTTAATCTAACACAATTTTTTTAAATAATTCATCATTTATCTAGCAGAATTTATCTCATTAACAAACTTACCAAATTTTTAGAAATTAAAACTGTACGATTATTCTTATAGATATAGTTACCAAAATACTAATAAACATTTTAGAAATTTTCTATAACAAATATGATTTATCCCGCATTTTATTTTATTTGAAATTTAAAATTATATTTTAAATATATTAATAAACGTGTATTATTATTTTTTTCTTATGTGATATAATCTAAATTTTGTATTAGATTTTTAAATTCAAACATTTAACTAAAAATATCACAAATTTTTTTGGGTATATTTCATTTTATCTTAACTTCCATATAATCACATTCCTAACAAAATAATTAATATAACATTTTTTATCCACATTTATCTAACCATATTTTTTTAAATACAATTAATATCTATTACTATATATTAGAGAGATGACTTACTTTAAATAATATTAAAATTCCCGCTTAAAATTTCCAAAGTTATTATTATTAGTATTTTTCTTTGAAAAATAACGGCTGAATGAAAATTTGAATTCAAATTTTAAAAAAATATTGTTATTTGAGAAATATATTATGTAAACCTTAATTTCTAAAATATGAGCAACGATTTCTTTAAATGCTACGGTTAGATCTGACGATTAATGAGAATGAAACTTGAAGATCTTGCTTCCAAAAAATCTGATCTATTATTTCCTTCAATTTATTCAGTGAAACGTGTAAATTTGGTTACAAAAATCTGGTTAATCATTTACTGAATAAAACGTTTTAAATCTTTTGAAATAGTATCGAAAAGTCATGGCAACTTAATTGTTAAATATTTTTATATCCATATTTATTTATCTAAAAATCTTATATTTTATGACCACAACTAAAATTCGTATTTATCTAATAAAGAATGTTAATTTCTAAAATTAATTTTTATATTTTGGATTGTTCAATTTAGTTGATGAGTTTTGTGTACATATGTATCGAACTACAAAATATTTTAAAGTTTAGAAAGAATCTTATAATATGTGGATTCTTGGTACTTATTTTTTTTGTACACATCTATTTTTTCATCTCATATCCAAATTACAAATTTTAATATGAATCTTAATATTTCATATTTATTATAAATATATTTAGAAAGTATTACGATTCATATAATTAATTTTATCATATATCTGTGTTGGATATCATTGGTTTGGTTGGAGACACTCATTATATTCAAATAAACTATACATAATTTTTCATATTTTGTATTTCTTTCTTGCAATAATGAGATGTTAAATATATATATAATTATGTTTAAAATAAAATTTTTAAAAATATTTAAAGTAACAAGCCCGTCCGTGCATTGCACGGGATGCGCACTAGTAATGATATAAATGTGGCAATTGTACTTAAAAACTAGTATTCGACTCTGTGCATTTGCACAGATGTAAATAAAATTAAATATTATAAGTTATATTTATGTATATAATATAAAAATTATAAGTTATATAATTGTATTATATTTCAAACATATAATTATAAGTTTTATTTATGTATATAATATTAAAATTATAAATTATATAATAGAATTATCTTTTAAAATTAGATCATTGGTTAAAATAAATAGTACATACGATTTGATTGTATACGAATCACTATATTGATTGCATAAAATGTAATAAATATATACTTTTTATAATTTTGAGTGATCATGATCATGACCAATTAATTAGCTGAAAAATATTACATTTATTATAACAATTGCTTATGTGATTTTAAGAAATTTTACTATGACATAAGAAAAATTAATTTATTAATAAACAACATCTTCATCATATAAAAAAATATTGATTTTAGTGTAAAATATAATTTTATGTAACTTTCATATATTATTTAGTATAAAATATAATTACTAATTTTAATATTAACTATTATATTATTTAATAAAAAATATAATTATTAATCAATTAACATAAAATATAATGGTTTTTGTCTTAATTAACCCAAAAAAATATAATGAAATATTTTTTTATTAATGAGATTAGGTGTATTAATGCCACATAAATAATATTTATTAGGTTCTATTTATTAGGTTTTATTAATGATTTGCCACATAGGTAAAATTTATTAGGTTTTATTTATTAGGTAAAATTTATTGCTTAGCTAGCAATTATATATATATAGATTAATTTAAACAAAATAAAAATGATGTGTAGAAATGTACCCAAAAATTTAGGGTAACATTTTTGTTTAAAAGTAAAATATGTTTGATGAGAAAGGTAATAGAGGAATTTATCATTTTCTTTCACCAATCAGCCCACCATGAAAACATGTCCTGAAGCGTACCAAAATCCAAATTGGGCTGCTCTATAATCCGCCAACTCCTATCCAAGATCTGGGCCAAAAATTAAATACTCTTTTGGATATTATATTTTTGGCTAATTTACGCATCTATCCACCGTTTGGAAATATTTTACGCACATCGAGAAATTAAACTTAATTGCACTTTAACGAGTATTTTAAAATTAATTTGTCTCAGATGCGAAGATGATGAATTCATCATCGTAATAAACTCCCCTCTCTCTCTCTCGCACAATAATTTAAAAAAGAAAAAAAGAATCACCAGTGGTGAGATTATATGATAAAACAATGTTCAAGAATATGCTTTGTTTTTTTTTTTCGTGATAGATGTTCTATCTCTTAATCTGGTGTTTGCACAGAACAAAAATACCTTCGAAATATTTGACAAAAAGTAGGGAATTGGAGAAAATACCAATTATAAATCATTATACAACTAGAAATAAACAAACTAAAACAAAAATTCATTCTAAAAATTAAGCAAAAACTGAGTAGAATAAGATTACTAGATAAATTAGATTATTACATGTTTATATAAAGTTTCTTTGTCAAAGACAATACAAAGCTAAATTATAATTTAGCCGGCTAACATACAAAAACCCATAAATAAACCATAAAAAAACCATACATATACATACAAACTATCAATTCACACAAAACATTCAATCAAGAAAAAAAAAATCAATAAAATAAACCATAAAATCCCAATACATATACTTGAAAAAAACTATCCTAAAAATCTACCCGAAAGTTGGATCTTGCAAGATCTGAAACCACCAATTGTAGCTGACTTGTGGAAGCACTACCGCTTGGGCGGGCGCCTTTGTTCTCGCTTCGTTGAAGGCAGAGAAGGTCGAAGGTTAGGCGGTTCAATCTCCAAGGGTCGAACGGAGCAGGCAGAGGCGTGTCGCGGCGCGGCGCTGCGGTGCGAATGGGGGACTCAATCCTGGAGAGAGCCGACGACAGATTCTGATTGAAGGCCTCTGGGAAAACGGCTAAGATTTGCTTTATTCGCGGCGATGCGGCTACAGCTGCGATAGATCTTGTCTGGCTTTGCTTAGTTGCTTGTTTGGGGTTTGAGAATTTTGGATTTTAGAAGAAAAATATTGAATGGAAATTTCAGATCTTGTCTATACGAATGAAAGAGAGAAAAAATTCAGAAAGGAATAATCAGTGAAAGAAACCGTATAAATGCGTATAAAAATAAAGCCTCGCAGAAAGAGAGATATGATTAAATGTCATCGTTCTATATATCGAAACAAATTAAATAGTTAATAGTAGTAAAAAACACTATTAACCACACAAAAAGCGTAACAATTACACTCAGAAACGAATTTAATTTCAATATTAATTTAAGAATAAGCAAAGCAGGCTACGGAATTTTGGTGCCTCAAATCCCTATAGAACTTCATAATGAACTCCTCCGCCGCCTCGTCCACGTGGCAGCTCTCCTCCACATCCCTCAACGGGAAAGGCGAATCCGTCACCCTCAGCCGCCTCACCAACGGGCTCCGCCCGAAACCCGGCAGCGCCGGTGACGCCGCCGCGCTGGCGGCCATCACCACCGCCGCCTCCATCAAATCCGCCTCCGAGAGCGGCCGTCCACCGGAGTTTCTGCCGCCGCAGGTGAATTCGTAGTCGCGGCGGCCGGCGGCGGCGGCATGGTGGTGGTGGTGGTGGAAGATGAGGTTTTGGATTGCCTCTTTTCCGGCGACCTTGCCGCGCCTCATCATGGTGTTGACGGCGGATAATAATTTCCCCTTTGAAAAGCCTTTCCTCAGCATGAAATATATCGCTTGGGCCAATTTCCAGATCTTTTTGGCCACCATTGCTAGATTTTGCTCCATTTTGGGGGAAAAAAAATTATGAATTTTATGTTACTAATATTATTTTGGTTTGAAGATTAGTTTTTGGGAGTTAATTTTGTATGGAGAGAAGTTGAGGAAAGAGGCTTTGTTTTGTGTTTTGATGAAAGTGAAAGATGCATATGAGCTTGCTATTTATAGGCGGATCTAACTAAAAGGGACAGAGGACACTAGAGTTGTACTCACCACATTACGCAGTTGTACTTTGAGATTTAATTTATTTGAGATCAATACGCCTTTTGGAAACTTTTTTAGCCCATGGTTTTGAATCCCAAATGAATTATTGATCGACAAGATTTTCTATTTCATCTTTTGGTTTATATCTTTTTNCCTCCTAGTAGAGATTTATAAATGTTTTATTTATATATATAAAGAATATGTGAGGATGGTAGATGAAGCTACCATGAACAAACTCATCTATCAACATTATTTGGTGTGAGTAATTGGGTGGAATTTGTTTATGTGATTTTTTTTACTAATATGATTTATGAACAATTGAATTGAAGTCGAGCAGAAACTAAATGATATTAGGAACGAGTTAGTCCAATAATTTCGAATACTCATTAGAAGAAAATAATTCAGAATAAAATATGAAATTGGAATTTGGAACAATAGATGTAGATCGTTAGGAGTGGTGTTTGTCATATTTGTTGTAGGGGTATTTTTATCCGCTGCACTGTTGTTTTACCCCAACAGTTTTCTGAATATATATGTGTCCTTTTTTGTTAGCTAGTATTTGCCTTTAATTTGGAAGTTCCAAAGTCATGTAAGAACTAAGAACACGAATTTTCTTATTTGCGAGATTCAACGGATCTTATTCTAGCTAGTCCGTATATACATTATTCTCCTTCCATCTGTGTCAATATCGCGTTCGAATCCTTAAGCCATGTTCAAATCTTTTCCACACATATTCCTAAACTATATAAAGAAACAATCTAGATTAAGTCTTACTCGATAATCACCTATAAATAAACAAGACTAAACAAGACAGTTATTCCAAGTATGAATGTGATGTAACACCAAGAATAACTTGGTGAATCGGCTGAGCGGTTAGCTCGGATAGGGCCGGTCCAAGGAAGCTTAGAGCCCATTTATACGATACATGGTATGAGTTAAAAATATCCACAAAGATCTAGGAAATATCTCTAAGAGATATTTAAGTATGTTTGTATATATCCACACAGTGATTTGGGAGAATGAGACTCCTTGGTTATTAAGGAAACCCTTTTTCTTGGAAAAGAAGTCATTAAATACTCATAAATAAGGATTTCAGGTTCATTTTCTAATCTAAAGCTCGTAAGATTACGTCAGATACACGATGAAAATATCTGTTTTCTGACTTGAGCGTCGGAGTGTCTACTGCAGGCCAATCCGATTCTTGAAGACAAAGGCAATCGAAACGTCCGAGCTGTCTTGCAATCGAGATGAGGCGGTTCGACCGGCTACCTCTCATCTCGATGAGTCGATTATTTTAGCACATCAGAATGTATGATAATTCAATTCATAGTCGTATGTATATATAAAGAAGGAACAGGTGGTCAAATACCAAATAATATGTTACTCTATTTAAGTCATTTGTTTATGAATTTATACTATAGTTCGGTACGTCTGCCCATAATCATTGGTGAAATGATTGAGGTGACTGATATTTGAAACAAACAGCTGGTAAGTTGGCAGAATTTGAATTATTTGAACAATTATTTAATTTTCAAGCTGCCCAATTAAAAACTTGAATATCGATGTGAATTCTTAATTCCCAAGTTGGTGAAGCGTAAAATAATTGGACTAGCATATGCATGGGGTTGCGCGATCCGAGGACAAAGGGGTTACTTAGCAACAAAGACATGGACACGTGTCCTCGTTCCCCATACATTATAATTTGACCAACCAAAAAATTTATAAGAAATTAAGATGCCTAATGTCACGTAGAGTTTGGCGTGTTTTGGTTGGAGAATCTCAGGATTCTGTACAATATATTCAAGCAAGAATCATTGTTCTTAGTTATTCTATTGTTTTTTCTTAAAAAATATTTAAGGGGTGGAAAAAGGTAAAAAATCAGGGATATTTCAATTGACGAAAGTTTAACACCATTATCGATAATTCATTCGAGGTGTGAAATAATTGTGTGTGACATGCATGTGCAGCGATTCCTAAATTGTGATGCGAACATAATCTAGTCGAGGAAGATATTTAGGGGGATTGGGTATTTCAAAACTGGTTTTGATTAAATTTTGAGTAAAGTGAGTTAATATGAGTGGATGATTTAGTGAGGTTTGGAGTTTGTATCAAATAATAGGTAAAATATAATGATTAAAGTGATGTAATTTATAAGTATGAAATAAATTATTAGAAATGATTGACAGTTAAAAATATATGAGTGCATGAATAGTGAATTAAAATTGATGTTGATATGCGAAGATGATTGATTGATATTATTTAATTATACTGATAATAATGAAGATAACTTTTTTTTTGTCACTAGTGTGTACCCCGTGCGGTGCACGAGAACAATATTAAATTAACAATATTATAAATAGACCTCGAGTTTGAGTCACTCAATGACGGAAGTGGAAACTACTATTGATCCTATTTAAAGAGGAAGAAAAAAAAATAATTATAAATTAAAGAGGAGGATAAACAATACTTAATAATAATAAATTAAAGATTCAGGGTCAAACAATGTAAAACTATTTTGTATAAGAGAATATAAAATTTACATTATTTTGTATAAGAGAATATAAAATTTGTATGTTTAATATTAAAAGCACCTAAAATATTATATTAGTATATGTAAAAGTATTCAAAATTTTCTATATTATTTTTGAAAGATGTGATGTCACCTGCAACTTTTCTAAACAATTTTAGAAGGAAAACATATCTAAAATCATTTGAATTTAACATTGTGTAAAAAAAGATTTTTCTAGACTATTTTGTAAAGAAAACATATCTACAAATATTTAAATTTAACACCAATTATGTATATATATATATATATATATAGACGAATATGTAAAAAAAATGTCTAAACAATTTGTTTAAAGTATCTAAAATATTATAAGCATAATTTAAAAAAACCATTATGTCAGATGATACCGAATTTATGACGTTACACACAATTATTATTATACTTTTTACGTTATTATTGAAGATGTATTGTTAGCTTATAATATTTGTAAAAATATTAGTAATTAGACCGATGAAAATTAGATTTCAATCAATCAAGTCCACTTCCAAGCCAGTTGCCATCGGAAGCAGGAAAGAGTCACTCTCTGGACATTGAATAAAGGATTTTCAAGACCCTTACTGTAACTTCCCTAAGAACTACTTGACCTAGCCCCTACTTAGTGACAAGAGACGAGTACATATTTATTAGACTTTCGTCGGCAAGAACGTTTGGGTACAGCATGAATAAAGTTCGGTAGACATGCGTCTGTATCTTGCGGATTAAAGTACATAATGGATTTCTAGTAGTAATTATGAATTGATTTTTATTTTATTTTATTTTTTAAAATATTTATATATAAGAGATGAGATTTTTTAAACTCTACCAATTGTTTTTTAAACTTACCGGGTTTTTTGTTCAGATTGTGTGAAATTAAAAAATGGACAACCGATTTATGTGAAAGTAAAGATAACACACGCCTCATTATATGGAGTTTGAAAATACCGCAATTTTGAGAAGAAAGTTAAAAAAAAAAAAGCCTAATGCATTTAATGTTGCACGCGTGAATTCAGGAAACAAAGTAATAATTTGCTAGTAATAGAAAGTAATTAATGCTAACGAAGTTTGACTAAAAATTTGACTTTCTCTTTTTTAAAAAAAAGGTTATTATCTTTATATAAGTATAGATATGACATTTATATTAATTTGCAAACATATATAGTAGAAGTATAGAAATAAAAATTGTACCAAAAAAAATAAAAAATAAAAAATAAATATTGTTGCAACTCAATGGCTTGAAGGATGCAAGTATTNCATAAAGTATGAAATCTATTAGAATGTAATACCACTTGTGAGTTGTCCCATATCGTTTATGTAAGAAAAATAAATCTAAAGACTACTCTTCCTACTGTCAATTGATTTTGGAATAAAACCTTATTATGGTGCATCTTGGCTCACCTTGTTATGATGCGCTTCATGTACATGGGATCACAATCATTATATGGGACCGCACTCATTTTCCTCGATTCTTACAAAATCCAAATTAGACATCGCTACATAATTAAATTACGATTTACTCTTAAAATATAGAGACTGGGTTCGGATAGCCATTTTGTATTTCACTATATAACATGACTAAGCTTCATGTACAAATTTATTCCATCAAGTGGGATAAGAAAACCCAATTTTATGTCATGAGAAGGTAATAATTAAGATGTTAATATGTTGTTCGAATCTTCATAGGTAGTGCAGTATTTGTTATAAGGCCCTCTTTTTTTCTTTTTTCTTTTTTTTTTTTTTATGTAANCAGATAAAGTTTTTAAGAAAAAATGCTACTTTGTACTGTTGTACTCTCTCAAGTTTTAGAACCAATGATTAATTTGCTTTATAGACTTTATATTAGGCACCCGCATTGCACCCGTTTTGTGAGCGTTTAAACGGCCACCCCGCGTTTAACATGGATGCGAGTCATCCATTAATTAGTTGGGCCCATGTTGCCGTTTAATACATTGAAGGCCACTTTTTGTTGCTTTTTTTTTTCTTTTTTTTTTTGTTTTTAGTTAATTATTTTGGTTATTTTTTTCTTTTTATATATTTAATTCAATTTTATATATAAATCCAAATTTTATCTATATTACACTTGTTAACATGTATCACAGTAATTTACATTTTATATCTCCCATTTTTTTTATGCCTATAAAATACACCTCACACTTCAGTTTTATAATTTTCTTGTACAATTTTTTTTTGTTTTTCCTGCTCTACTATTTTTCATTTTTAATTTTAATTTATGTTTTTTATAATCTAATAATATTTAGTGTATTTTCATCATTTAACATTAA